GGGGGGGGGGAAGTTGGGGGGTGGACGGACGCCCATCTCACTGACGTCACTGGTTGCCAGGAGCTTGGCAGGAAGCTAGCTAGTGCATCCCGCTCAGGTCTTGGCAACCGGCAACATCTGTGAGCTGGGCGGGAAGCCGCACAGAGCGTCACAGGTTTCTAAGAGCTCTTAGCAGCCCGGGACGCTGTGGCTGCCTCCAAATGAGATGCCGCTTGAGGCAATCGCCTCCGGCTGCCTCATTATAGGGATGGCCCTGAGTGGAATATGCCTTTATCCTGAGAGTTGAAATGGCCACTGTTGTGACAGGAGCACAAATGGAAGACAAGACAGAGCATTGTCACCCTTTAACAGAAAGCACCTAAACAAGAATGAGAGGATCAAGTGAAACAAACAAAGAACATGAATGTTAATAAATCTATTTATTTTAATGGTGTAAAAAAAGTATTACAAATAACTCCTCCGTTTTCAAAAGGGAAAGATTGTTGCATACTGCAAAAGAAAACAAACACAAAACAGAAAACACTATTACAACTTACGGCTTGCCTCATCAGGGCTTATATGGATATACAATACTATGGCAGGGGTAGCCAAACTTTGGCCCTCCAGCTGTGGTCAAACTACAAATCCTATCATGAATCTGCCTCTGGAAGTCATGCCTGTGACAGTCAGTCTTGCAATGCCTTATGGGATTCGTAGTTCCACCACAGCTGGAGGGCTGAACTTTGGCTACCCCTGTGACAACACATGCAGCATCTTTTTGTCATGGAGAGGATCCAGTGACCTGTAATTAGCTGATGAAAGTTTGAGTGTACAAAAGTGTATCTGTATATGCATACACAAACCGAACCATGATCCTGACTGGCTGTTAGACCAGTCCCTGACCCTTCTGGCAGTCTGTATAGGATGCGAGGACTCTGAGGGACAGTCCATTGCTGGAGTAGCGGAGGAGGCAGACTGAAGGGACTGGCCTAGGAGCGTTTGGCGCAAATACAGAAGTTTTGTTAGGACATTCATTTTGAGGGCATTACAGCTGCCAAACCACGTAAGGTAGGACTGACGGCAGAAAGTTAAATCTTGTTTGGTTTTCCACAGAAAAGGGGTGAAGTTCAATTCCACCACCTTTCCAAGTTCGGCAGGGATCTGAACCCCGAGGTAAGTAATAGAGGTGCGGGACAATCGGAATGGGAAGGGTTGCAGATGGTTGACTGTCGTGGAGGGCAGAGAGACGTTGAGGGCTTCTGATTTTTGCAGATTGATCTTGGAGTTAAAGGATGGAATGTCTGCAGTTCCTCTATCAAAGATGGGAGAGAGACTCTCGGCTGGGCTATATCAAACAGTAAGTCTTCTGCGAATGCGGCCACTTTGTGTGTGATGGAAGCTATCGTTATGCCCTGCATATTAGGGTTGGCTCTGATCGTTTGAAGAAAGGGGTTCCGGTGTGAGGATAAAAATTCATGGCGAGAGCGGACAACCATGGCGAGTGCCGTCTGCTATAGTAAATCTTAGGATCATGGGAATTGGTTCCATTCTGGCAAAAGACACAATATATAAGGAGGGAATTAGTGTGGTAGTTGGCACATATAGTCGCGTCTTTACCCTCCTTGGGTATGACTGCGATTATATGCGTGTAAGGCATCAGGGGGAAGGGAATGTCCCTCCGTAATGGCATTAAAGGAGTGCAAAAAATGAGGAGCCAGGTTATCAAAACGGTTTTATAGTATGGGAGTGGGAGACCATTGGGGCTTTGTTTGACTGCATGCCTGCTAAAGCCGCCCCTAGTTCCTCATCCATTATTGGAGCTTTAAGCTGTTCAGCTTATGGGGCTGAAAGTGAGGGGAGGGAGGCCAATAGTAAGTATGGCTAAATTATCTCAGTTCTGGTTGAATCTGATAGGTGCAAGTCCTGCTGAGGTTTGACAACTTTTTCAATAATCGATTATGTCGATTAGTTGTTGCAGCCCTAGTAAATTGTACGGAAAAAAAGTCAGTCTGCACCAGTTAGATGTGCTCCTTCTTTTTTTCTGTTCAGTATCGTGTAGTTAGACACCCCGGTCTAATAACATGAGGAGTCGCACAACAGCCACAACCCCCCAGGAGTGACTAACCAATCAGTCTTCATTTTCTAACTGAGGTAAAGTTGTACAAATTTGTAAAAACCCATATGCTTCAAGTTGAAGGATACATATGGTCCTTAGAAAAGCTGGGTACTGTAGAATGTTTAAACCATGAGTTTACAACACCTCAGCAGCCTATCAAATACAGAGAAAACTAATCAGCCATGCAAAGAAATGATCCAGTAAATCACAAGCATTTGGAGGAACTGTTCTTAACTAGGCATGCTAAATCAGAAACCCCATGCAGTGTTCGCTCATCATCTAGGCCCAGGCTGTACACAATTTTTGCTTAAAAGTCCATTAAGATTAAGCCCTGACTCCTGCCATTCAACTTTCAAATGCCACATCCTCACTGGGCAGGAGACTTTGGCATTTAAAATTTTCCAGGAAAGAAACGGGCTGAGATTTAATCCTGACTTTGGCAGAAGCTGAGGCTTCATGTACAGCTAGGGTCTAGGATCCAAGGGGGCTCCAGAGAGGCACAGAAATCAATCTAAAGATTAGAGTAGCTACTTGCAGCCATCACACTTTAGGCCAGGCCAACTTGACTTCGCTGAATTTTTGGACGCCACTACAGGTATCTGAAAAGCCTATGACAGAAAGTGTCTATAAGCGCCCAGTCTAAAAATTAATATCAGTGGCAAATTACATTTTTGCTTGTGATAGGATTTTTGGTCGGTTCATCAAGATTTGAAAACTAAGTGGTAATGAGGTCCTGAGCCGCTGACATTTCTTCAAATGCATTGCTTTATTTTAGCAAATTCAACCAGCGATCCTATCTGGTGTTCCTAAGTCTATAGTTTAAGTCCTTACCAACTTTTAAGGGAACACCGGTTGTTGTGTTAGCACACATCCAAGGACAGTGAAGAGCATAAAGTAACAGCAGCTCTGGCCACTTTCCAGCAAAGAAAACATATGGTTGCAACCCTGTCATAGTCTCATGCCAGCAACTGTACCCTGCTGTTGCTTGCGGATTTTGTTCAGCAGCTCCATGTACTGCATCATAGTGTCTGCAGGTGTGTAAAGTGCATCGTGTTTGGCACTAAGAACCGGGGGACCAGATGGAGCATGACTGCCCATGAAACTCTGCATAAATTCCACCAAGAGGTTCCAGCAGTCACCTGGCACAGAACAAGGGCAGTAATCCACCTGAGAAAAAAAACACAGATAAGACATCAATTACAATTATGACTGTGTACTAAGTCTACTGAAAAAAAAACCCAGCAATTTATATGAAATAGCTGCAAACCTGTATTTCATTAGAAGTACTGTTGCTGATATAGCTAGTAATAGTTCTACACATTCAAGTGGACTAGTTCTGTAATGTTGAAGACTAATCCAAGCCATCTCTGCATTTATATCCACACAGGTAACATAGCCATCGTAAGCCAATTACCATGGAATGCTGCCAATAAAAAGTAATTATTGTTCCCCAGGCTGTTAGAGAAAACCCAGGAACGACTGAGCTTAAGTATAGTTTTGAATTAAGCCTGCACAGTTATAATATTTTATGTACGCTTTATCGTGAACAATTCATGACTGGGCTTATGCAGCAATGAATACTCAATTTTTAAATGATATTTGGCCATGCTTATATATGAAAGATTTATATTGACCACCATATTAAGCTGTACTATGTCTGGGTCTGACTTTTCTGCGAGGGGTCACAGGTTACCTGAAGTCTGAAAGTTGCAACACCTACCTGGTTGCACATTTTGGAGTATGGATGGCACTGTTAAAGATCAGATTCCATAATGAAAATAAATGTAAACACCGGGGCTCCGTTTGATGATGTAGTCATTCATACTGAGCGACTGTGTACAATTTACAATGATGTGAAATTGATGACAATCAATTGATGACAGTGAAGTGAAATGTGAGTTTTGATGGAGTCTACGTACTAGATATTTGAACTGTTTAAACTCGAGGCTCCTCAGTTGTAACTGTGTATGTCCATCACGATCTCAAACAATTCATCCCCACACAGCTACCTCCTCATGTATCACTTCCCCCTCCCTTTTAGATTGTAAGACCTCAGGGGCAGGGCCCTCCTTACCGTCTTGAATTGTACTGTAATGTGTTCCTTTATATATAAATCCTATATAATAATAATAATAAACAACGGGCTGCCTTTTAAAAAAGGAATGTGATGTATATGCTAGAATACTATACAGAAATACTGTATAACTTTTACAGGGTTATTCACTAAAGGGTGAAGAGTTTGGAGACGGCAGGAGAAGTGAACAATCTAGGCCAACATAGCTGATTTGGAAAAATTCTCCAATTCAGCTCACTTTTCTAGTTCAGTTATTTTGGCCTTTATTGTTCACTTCTCCTGTCTTCTCCAAACTCTTCACCCTTTTGTGAATAACCCAGTTAGTGAAGGACAGAGGTGTTCCTAAAACAAAATCCTCCAAAAGGTCATAATGCCCTGGCACAATTCTTCATTGGAGCAACCAGAGCACTGGAAACCTGATGTAATCTCTTCTGTCACTAAGTGGATGTGGGAATTATATCAGCTTATTAGCATGGAACGCCTTCTGGTGCAGCTTTTACACATACAAGCACATCTGTTAGTATCATATTTATGGAGTTAGAAAAACTAGGTGGTTTGGTAAACCGGTACAACACCCTGCTGCCTTTTCTCCAACCCCCCACATTTCCAGTTCCTACTCCTTTCTCTCTCTTTCTTTACCCCCTTTAAAGCAGAACTCCAGGCACAGAGATTTGTTTTTATCAGTTTTTATGTGCAAGAAAACATTACTTTTGCTCAGCCGTACCTAATCTCCAGATCACTGCAGTGTACTATAAAATCCATACTTTTCTTTATGCTGGATAGTGTAGTCCCTGCTGTACTTCTGGCCCGCTCTGGATAAGAGAGTTGAGGGTCTCATAGACGCAAGCGCTGGTTTAGTTTATCTGCCCCACCTCACCCCTTGGGCATCCACAGAACGCTGCATATTCTGTTAATGGCTAAGAGCCATGGGGACTGGATAAATGGCACAAGCGCATCTGGCTATAAGACCCACAGCTTTCATATTCGGTAGGGATGCACCGATACAATTTTTTCAAGACTGGGTACGAGTACCGATACTTTTCCTCAAGTACTCAACGATAACAATTACTGATACTTTTTTCAGTATCATGTCATGTGACAGTTTTTCTAAAACAATAAAGACCAATGAGGACAGTGGTGGAGCGCCAGGTCCAGTACAAATCCCAGCAATACATTACATAGAAATGCATAATACCACCAGCTATAGAAGGCTACAAATGCCAGCAATACATTTTACAGCAATGCAGAATATTATGAAACTACATACTGTGTTGCTCACTAGGGCTGTGCAGTGTCCAGGGAGGCTGAATGGTGGCTCACCACGGCTGTGTGTGGTTTCAGGACTCACCAGGGCTGCGCAAACGGGTGTGAGTCTCAGCAGGGCTGTATGGGCTGGTGCAGGTCTCACCAGGGCTGTGCGGAAGGGTGTGGGTCTCACAGAGTACTTGGGAAAATGCCCAGTATTGATACTGGTATCAGTGCATCCCTAATACCCAGAGTGAGAAGTGAAATAGTGGCAGTCCCAGGGTATTATCGGGTATTGAAGAGGTAACAGCAGTTTGGTTCATATGCCAGCACCCAGAGTGGGAAGAGAGCATGAGTAGTGATATACCAGGTAAACCAACCCATTAGGAGGGGTATGCCTCATGCCATAACTCTCCTGATGTAAAAAAAAAAAAAAAAAGCTGGTCAGCAAAAAAGGAGGCCAAGTATTCAAAATTTTGGCTAAAATGCTGGTTTGGGGGATGGAGATGTCAAGTCCAGCAAGTGGAATAATAACAAGAGTGTGGGTAGCGAGAGGATTGTCTTGCAAATGGCAAAAAACAATAGGAGAGTTTGGAGAACTGTAGCTGTGTTCATATCTATAGATATCTATAGATATATATCTGTATGAAGAGTAGTGCTGTGTAAATGATGTGCCGAGATGTTTTTAATCCCACATCTTTATTTAAAATAGTGATTACAGAATATGCACTAATACTATGCCAAATTGTTGGTGAAGCACTAGACCAGCAGTTCTCAACCTGTGGGTCGGGACCCCTTCGGGGGTCGAATGACAATTTGCCAGGGGTCGCCGGGAGTCTCCCACTATTAGATAGCTATTAGATTATCATCATTATTATTAATAATAAAAGCTGACACCCTCGGCTTGTGTTATATGGTTTGCCATTTTAGCTGTTACAACAGTGGTTCTCAACCTGTGGGTCGCTGTGTGATTTCTGCTGTGCTCGGTGAGAGTCCTCCTCAGCCCTCTCCTAGCGCAGCAGTGTCAGCTCTCCCACCACGCCGCCAGATGCCGCTGCAGCAGCCGCGTCAACCCTAAATTTTACCGTTGGGGGTCACCACAACTTGGCAAATGTTTCCAAGGGGTCCCGGCCCTAGAAAGGTTGAGAACCACTGCACTAGACCCTAGTGGAAATAGCTCTCTAGATACCAATGGGCCCAGATCATCAGCAATAAGTACAATAGAGAAAAGAGAGCACCACAACCTTAGGTAAAAGTCCGGTTAACTCTGCATATATTAAAGGGTTGTGGATTAATAAGTATAACAAATTCAATCTAACATGAACTGTTTTTGTGCATCAGAAAAGAAAGTGTAATGATGTTACAAGAATTTACAGGATCCCAATGGAGATAAGTATCTGTACACACAATTTCTGAATGCAACATAAAGGAAAGCTAAGAGGTTTGTTGATACAGCTGATGATCCATGTCATTGTTTTTCATTTTCTGAATTTTGTGGTCAAACCTGTTTTAACTGGATATTGGCATACAGCTCGGGGAGTATTTTACATACTAGGGCTGGTCCGATTTTGAGCACTACGGTTCTTCTTATAGCACAGGCACATTTTCCAACTTTCTAGAACATCTACCTACAGGTGGATCCACCAGTTCAAGCAATGATTTATGACTCTCTCTGAGAATAAGTGGGAGCTCTAGCCCATCTGCAAATGCATCCACTGGCTGGTAATCTTAGCAGCTTAGCATGCAAATCATAATGCAAAGGATGCAAGTGTGATTCTTAGATCGGCCATTTTTTTTATAGTAATGACATTTGATTACAAATAGTTTTTTTTTTATCACTGTAAGTATATACATGTGGCAGAAACTATCCCCAAGCACCCTCTTTATCTGTAAGAATTTAGAATAATTTTGATGGGCCCATTAAAACATTTACAGCTGTCATTTGAGTAGAGTGGTCGAAATTGCCAAAGTCTACAGATATGCAAAAAGTAACTGATGGGCCAATAGATTGCTTGCATTAGGTATTTTCTATCTACTATTTGCCCCTGCAATCTGCCAAATGAATATCATGAGCAGTTTGGGGCACTAGAGCCAGAAACCTCTGTGGAACAGCAAGTTGCTCAGTTGAGTACAGGGTTCCTGGAGAGTTAGAGGAGAACTATGAGGTGAGTGATTTACACTCATCCTCATTGTTCGAGCCGACATATGACATTGAAACTGTCACACATTGGCTCTATTGATTGGGAAGTGAGCTCACTTCCCAGTCATCTCCCTGCAGAGAGCGGTGACTGTCAGTCACCGCTCCCCACATTGATTCCCCTCTCCCCTCTCTGATCCTCCAGCGCTGACTGGAGGAACGGACGGTGGCGGGCACAGCTGGCTCTGCCTCTATGTAGGCGGAGCCCGCTGACAATTAGCCAGCTGGGTGGATCTCAACAGCATTGTCGGGATCCATCCTGACTGGGGCGCTCTCCGTATATAGCAAGCTATAGTATATACTGAGCTTTGGGTCACAGGAGGAGATTACTATATGTCCTCCCGTGACCCTAAAGAGAACTAAGGGATAAAAATGTTACCCCATAGTTCTCTTTTAAATTCATATTACACTTTAAATGTAATCACTTCACACACTAGACGGCACCACAGCATAACACATTCCCTCCTCTGAGCTAACAGATCCCACCCTTTGCAAATTAATACTTACCAAGATCCAGCGCTTGGAGCCTCCCGTGTTTGTTTACATCCTACACCAAAGTCCTCTCCTTGCTGGCCTCGCCTGCGCAATAAAGCCCAACAGACTGCTATGGGACTTGTCCACCTCCGTATCCTGGCTTGTTTTAAAGCTCTTTTACTGCTCGTTAAGAATATGTAAAGCATTTAATCTCCACAGTATGGGTACAGCTGCACTTCAAACCTAAAAACATGGTCGTATCACAATTTAATTATAGGGATCCATTTATGAAAAATTCACATAGCTATTTATCCAGCAAAACTGTATGTCCATTCGCACAATGTACAAAGCTGTGGTTGTTGTACGAATGGGGCAAAATCAAATGTTCTTAAGGTATGTTCTCTCGAATGATCTTAGGTTACTGTTTTAGACTATTTTCTCTTCTGTCCATATGTTCTTAGTCCATTTTGCCTATAGATCAAATATTCTTAGGGTATTAGGGAATGTTACAGCGTCTTTCAATAGACAAAATTCAGATGGACTTACCTCCACAGATATTCCTCGGCCACTCTGTCCCATAGTCACTGTACCAATTTTAATAAGAAAATCACAATACTCGTAGCGTGAACCCCTTGTCTCCATCTTGTTAGCCTTTGCGTTTTGAAAGAATCCTTTTAACTTAATCATAAGTACGTCAAAGTTTTGATCTGCAACTAGGCAGGGTCCATTCTCAAACAAAGCAAATGTACTGACAGGGTGTTCAGAACTGTGCATAATGTAGAGGAGCTTTCCAGGTTGACCTAAAGGTGATAAAAAAAAGAAAAACCAGTGACATAAAGCCAGATAAACTCCTGTGCCTGATGTACTTTATACTCCCTATATTCATGTGACTTTAATTAATTAGGAAAGTATACAAGAAGTAGGGCTGCAACTAATTTCATATACGATTATTTTTTCGATTACTCTAATAGAAAAAGAAAAAATCCTTAATTTAAAATAAAATACACAGAAGCAGTGTTACAAACAAAGTATACTTCAGAATAAAACTGCAAGCACAATTTTTTGCAATCAGGTTGCACTGGAACGCACGGCATTGCGGTACCATGTGTTCCTGTGTGGGCGATCACACTGTGGGTCGGAGGCGCTTTTGGGGTGGCACCTCCCACAGCAGAATTGTATTGCACCCGCCCACTGCTTGCTGTGCCCTCCTCCCAGCATGGAGGAGAGAGCTAGGGGATCCAACTGATCGATAATAGTTGACAACTATTCTCATTATCGATTAGTTGGTTGCAGCCCTAACCAGAAGCACATCCGTTGCCTCTGCACCAGCAGAATATGTTGCCATTGCAATGGCGATTGCATCAGCATAGATACTGATTACCCGATTAAATTGCCATTGCAACAAAATATGTTTTAAAAGCATTGACATATTTCTTTCCCGTCCATTGAGGGAAGTATTACAACTTCTGCTTATACTGCTGCCAACACCAGGATTTGATACCGGAGGAACAAACAAAAAAACACAAACTGTAGGGCCAGCCTTAACTAACCTCTTATAATACCAACATGCCTTAAAAAAAGGAGGACGGATCCTCATCTTCTTACAGCTGGACAAAGACATGTTTCAGCTCTTGTTTCAGAGACCGCTGGCCTCTCATACTCCGATTAGGACCTTTGTACAGGAAGTCTCCCATGTGGCTCCTCATGTCCAATCCCATCTTTACACTTTAAAAACCACAGTTTGAACCCATTGGAGACACTCCTATCTCTTTCTCTATGCTCACCCACAAGATGGTGTTCTTTGTAGCCATCTCTTTGGTTAGGTGAGTGTCTGACGCTTTATTTTGTAAGGAACCCTTTTTGGTCTTAGACAAGGACAAGGTTGTGTTGAGGCCTATCACTTCCTTCTTACTTAAGGTAGTCTCTGCCTTTCACCTCAACCAAGACATTGTTCTTCTTTTCCTCTGTCCAGCTTTAGTTCACCTCAAGGAAACTTCACTCGATTATCTGGATTTGGTTCTGGCTGTGAGCCACTGTTTTTGGGGGGAAGAATGATTCCATTTCTGTAATTCCAGATGTTCCTTGTAAGTCTTAAGGATCAGGTTCCACCCTTTCCTGTCAAGGCACACTCTACTAGATTGGTGGGTGTTTCTTGGGCTTTTTAGCTTCAGGCTACTATTTCTCAAATTGATAAGGCTGCTACGTGGTCTCCTGTTCACTGTTCTCTAGGTAGGTGTTGAGGCCTCGTGTGATGCCAGCTTAGAGTGTAAAGTTCTGCAGGTGGCTTTTTGAGATGCAGGCATCCCCATTTTTCTGTTATCTTCATGAGCCTTTTTTGTTGTGTTACCCACCCCTCAGTTGGACTGCTTTTGGATGTCATTAAAGTGTAAGATTTCCTGTGTCCCTCAATGAACAAGAACTAAAAACCATAAAATATTTTTTGGGAGTATTGAGGGAGGCAGGTCCCACCACCCTCTGTGTTTATGATCATGCTCTCAGTTCTGCTTGCCACAAAACTGAGCAATGCTGGTAGTGAGGCGTTACACTGGGCTGGCATACAGTTTTGTCTTTATCGTCAGTGTCCAGTCCTCCCTTAGGCAGCGGTATAACTTGAAGTATATTTTCTTTGTCCCTCAATGTACTCCATGAAAAAGGATTTTACCGTGAGTACTATTGTTTCCATTTTTACCTATTTACCACCTTTTTAATGGCAGTTGTTTGGATCAATAAGGTAAAGGGTTATCCCATGTTCCTGACATTTTAGGTGCATGAATTATTTGAGGTAGATACAGCAACTGCCTCTCCACCCATTTCTCTGACTAGTTATTGATTGAACGTTAGACACAATAAGTAACATAACTAGGATAATGAAGAAACAAATAAAACGTAAAACAGCAATTGGGGCTTTTTTGGTGGCGCAAGGATTTTTGACAAACTCATGTCTGAATAAAAAAACATTTTTATTATTAGTTCATGTTAAAATCTTATCTTAAAATCAATAGTGCACATATCCATCATGTTTCATTCTAATTATGTTACACTTATAACATAATGATTACATATAGATCAGGTACTAAATACGGCAGATAATACAATCTTGATGTAAAGATCGCCAACCACCCGATCGATATTCCCCATGTCCCCACTGAATGCTACATTATCCGAGGGGAGGGGAAGATTATCCCGCCCAATAACAAGGTTGGCTCTAATACACAACTAAAAGCCTATCTCCATATGATACAAGGTTTAATCCAAATAGATGGTAAGAATTGCACATGGGGATGTAAACTTTGTTAATTAGTCATGGTACACAGTGATCAAGTTATATATTATCCATATAGGTAATCTTTTGGGCTTTGCTATGATCTCCCCAGAAGGCCCTCATTTGGGGCGCAGGGCACACTGCCCTCCACTCTTCTGCTCTGCCTCTCCTTTCTGCCTCCCCCTCCTGTTTTCTCGTTCCCGCTTGTTGCGGGTGTCAGACGATGTCAATATCCACAGACCCTTAGGTGAGTGGACCAAGCAGATAATTGAAATATGGTTGAATAATGATTGTCAACAATACTCATTATTGATCAGTTGGTCTTGATTCCCTAGTGCACAAATAGCACAAAACTGTGTCATTAATAGGGTCAGGGCACCTAAAAGTTATATTTAAGTGGAGCCAAGTAGACCGATTTAACAGTGAGATTTGCTTGGCATGATTATTGGCTCTTTTCCTTTCCACCTTTGTATGTTTCAGCATGCCCTGTTACGTCCAGCTGTGGGGCAACTACAAATCCCATGAGGCATTGCAAGACTCGGACAGCCACAGGCATGACTCCCAGAGGCAGATGCATTGTGGGATTTGTAGTTTCGCCACAGCTGGAGGGCTACAGTTTGCCCACCCCTCTATTACGGTGTACGTTTACTGATATACAATCTGTCAATTAACTTGTGACTCACTTTGCTTGGGCTCATGGTGATTAAATTGTGTGAACTTCAACTTGCAGAGGATCACCATCCGCTAAGAAAAGTAAACCAGTAGACTTTGACCTAAACATTAAGGTTCTTGTTCCATACATATTTACTCACATCTTTAATCAAGGTAAGCACAACTAAAGCACAAGTGAGCATTACTATATCTTCCTGTACCTGTGGTTCCCACGGTGGTCCCTGCAGTGTGATATGTCTCACAGTCCACATGGAATGTTCCTTGCTTCTCCGCTCCCAGCTGCTCCAGCCTGCGAGTAAGAAGTTCCACAGTCTGCTGCACGCTCTTCCCTTCCGCTAAAGGAACCTGAGTCACACTGAGCAAAAACAAAATGCAGTCTGTTTATTTGAAATGTGACCATTCATAAGTACTAAAATGTCTTATTACAGGGAAAATGCACAATGTCTATTGTCTGGCACTAAATATCACAGGAATAATAAAAGTGAATGAGGAGGAAATAATTATTCCCTGACACTCACAATTATTAGGTAAACCTCAGCTGATTTAGTTATGAAGGTTCTCATTCATCCAGGTCATGGCATATATGTAAAAAAATAAATCAAGGCAACTGGACTTGCTGTATGTTTCTTGAAGACGTTTCACTGGCTATCCAACCAGCTTTCTCAATTCAGAATGACTTGTACAAAAACTCTCTGGGAATAAATATGGTGAATGTTGCTCCAATCCACATAATCTGGGTAGGTTAATAACAACTTCTAACTCCAATTATGCAATGCATTTATCACCTTACCTTTATGAGGTCTCTGACCCCATGCTAGTTATGTTTAACAGATTATGTTGATTGGAGCAACATTCACTATATTTATTCCTAGATAATTTTTTGTAGAAGTCATTCTGAATTGAGAAAGCTAGTCGGATGACCAGCGAAATGTCGTCAAGAAAAAAATACAGCAAGTCCCATTGCCTTGATTTATTTCTCAGCTGATTTAGCTAATTCGCTAAAGTGGCTGTCCAAAAGTTTTAATCATGATGTACTGCATATCGCGACCATACCAGAAAGTATGTCTTGGTAGCAACAAGCTTTTGAAAAGAAAATTTTAAGGAGAACTATGAGGTGAGTGATTTTTCAGGAAGCGGCCCCCCAAAAAATAGACATTCATGGTTTTAATTTTTTTTTTTTTATATACTGTCATTGTGTAATTAAAGGAGACAGAGGAGGTCAAGAGAAAAGTTATTTTTATGGGTGAAAATTCACTTGAACGACCTTTTCTTATTTTTGACATTACTCTACACTCAAGCATCACTGTTCATCTACAGCCGTAGATCACCAAGGGTCACCATTCACATTATTATACAGGATTTATATAGCGCCAACAGTTTGCGCAGCACTTTACAATATAAGGAAGACATTACAATCACAATACAATTCAAGACAAGATGGTAAGGCGGGCCCTGACTGTGAGGTCTAAAGGTGCCCATACACTGCACGATTATCGTACGAGAATCGCGGGGAAATCCCGCGATCGTACGAGAATCTCAAAGTGTATGGAAGGCGTGCAACCGTTTCTACTGTACGGTCGCAGTAGCATGCAGTCGAACCAGCATGCTAGAAAACCCGCCGGGAATCGTCCGATTCTCGGCGAGTTAGTGAACTGCTTGTCCGACAACTGCTGAGCGGGCCGGAGTGCGCACGCGCACACTGCCCGTTTGCAGTCATCGGAAGCCCGCCCCTCATTGCAGTCATCGGAAGCCCGCCCCTCACTCGCAAGTACGATCTGCCTGTCCAAGATGGGCAGATCGTACGTTTTTTAAATTACTTTACAACCCAGTGATACATGAGGAGGTAGCTGCGTGGGGATGAATTGTTTCAGAACGTGATGGTTGCAATCTTTGTACAAGAAACATTAGGCCTGGTTCACACCTAGGAATTTTTGAGCAGTAGAAAAAGCGATTTTAAACGCCCAACACAAGAAACTATTTTCAATAGCCCCTGTTCACAACTGAGCAGCAACATACCAAAGGCAGAAAAAAAAAGTACATGTGCTTCTTTTGGCAGTTTCAAGCTCATTTTTCTCCCATAGACTTCAATGGAAACGCCAGGCAGAAACGCGTTGCCAATTTTCATGCGTTTTTGCACACTTGGTCTATTGACCACAATGTTTCTTAGGTCTCGTTCGCACCTAGGCGTATTGCATATGCGCGTCGACATTACTCTACTTTTTAACCGTCGATTCGCGGTAAAAAAGTTTCCGAAGGCTACTTGGCTGTATCCCAATGGAAACACGCAACAAAACGGCCCAAAGTAGTACATGTACCTTTTCAGGCGTGTTAGGGACGGGCGGAAATATGCCAAGGTGGGAACAAGACCATTGAATACAATGGGATTTATATTTTTGAGCGTTTTGTAGAGCGTTCGTCGAGCGTAGATCGCGCTACAAAACGTTCAGGTGTGAACGAGGGGCAAGCCCTCGTTCACACCTGAACGTTTTGTAGCGCGTTCTACGCTCGTATTAAACTGCTCGTATTCGCACATATTAAACTGCCAGTCAATACGCGCATCTTCATGTGCATGTAAAAATGTGCCAAACTTGCAAAAGACCGCACGCTGCACGCAAAAATTATGCCGCCTTGTGAATGGGGTCTTAAGCTCACACACATACATAACAATCTGATTGCAATCTCCTTTAGATCTAACAGCAACAACTATGTAATACAAGGACTGTAGTATATCTCACAACAACTATATTCTATTTACTTACCAGGTTACCCCCATATCGGTCTTTCTAGGAGGCGCCTACTAATGACGTCAGTCGCACATGTACAAATGTAATGAAAACACATAGCAACCGCTGGAAAAGCTGTCTGCGGAGCCTGAAGTTAGTATTTCCGAGGTGGCCATTTTCTTGACTCCTTCTACAATGCAGAACACCCAGACATGTCTATCCCAACATGGCTACAGATAAAGACACTTTCGCTCTACCACTTACAAAGTCTGTATTTACGTTCCACCAAGTGCAGTGACACGGCGCAGGCGCATTAGCTGGCTGTCTGCACGTGTGGAAAGCTATGCCCAAGCATCGGAGTTCTCGGGGTTCGGCTCCCCGTCACGTGGGGCTAGCTGACCAGATCCTACAAGATGGGTCTGTCAGAACCACGAATAGAACTAAGAAAAGAGGGCAGGAGGCTGAGGACTCGCGGGATGAGAACTATGTGGATGAGAAGCTGTCCCGTAAGATCCTGGAGCAGGCCCGGCTACAGCAGGAAGAACTGGAAGCCGAGCATGGGCCGTGTGGACAGGTCACCAAGGAGAAGACCACTGTTTTGGGTATGCTCTAAATTACGGTACAGCCGATAGTACAGTAAGGACAATCACACTTAAATTATATTTCCAGGGAGACGAAACTTTGCTTGCAGTGGGGTTCCCCTTTCACTGTAAGGGTTAAAGCAGAACTCTGGGGAAAATCAATACTTAAAGGAGAATCATGAGATGAGTGATTTCCACTCGTCCTCATAGTCATGACACAGGTCGGCTCTATCGATCGGGAAGTGAGCAGAAACATGCAGCTGACCTCCTGATCGTCTCCCTGCAGTGATCGTTGACTGTCAGTCACTGCTCCCCGCAGGGATTCCACCCCCCTCCGATCTTCCAGCGCTGAGTGGAGGATTGAATGTGGGAGGGGGTGGGCACAGCTGACTCTGCCTTTAGATAGGCAGAGCCTGCTGTTACTTGCACAGTAAAAACACTTACTCCATAGTTCTCTTGTAACCCCTGCAGTGGGGCTCCTTTGTGTCTAAGTTAATAATAAAATACTTACCTGAACCTGATCCTTGGAGGTGGCCAGTTCTTTGACCGCTCACTGGAGCCTCTCTCCCCCCTCCTCTGCAGTAGTCTAAGCTGCCTGAGTCATCACATTCTACACTGTGTATAGGATGTGAGGACAAACCATCACTGCAGAAAGGAAGGGGTGTCACAGCTAGCTGGATCTGAGGTTTGGGTGAGTAAAACTTTTTATTTTGTGTTTTTAACAGACACAAATGAGCAGTTAACCCTTGCAGTGTGGATGTAGCCCCATTGCAAGGATTAAGAATTTATTTTTCCCCAGAGTAATTTTTTTAACAACCAGATCCCTGCTGGCTCCAAGACTGGTACCTGCAGATTCTTCTGCCCTTTGTTTCAGTGGTTGGTAACCCTCTGACATCAGCAAGTATTATGTAGGGCACATACAGTGAGGAAAATAATTTTTGCAAAGAATACAAACCCGGCAATCATCTAGACGTATGTGTTTGGAGATTGTCATTATGTAACCTTTTCTCAAAGTGTGTTTGTTATTTTAAAGATCTGGGTAAAAGCCCGCTTTAATAGAAATATCACCTGTTTTGGCTTTACGTACACTTTGAGCTAGTGCATTGGGCATACTGTACAGAAAGTAGTTCCTCTCCTGGGTTAAATGATGGCCAGGGTCACCCAAATCACTTCCTTTGAGTGCATTAGTGGAGCGAAGGACCTACTGATGGGTAGAAATAGGTTAGGTATGGAGTTCGTATTGGCAGCTCTCTGTTAACTAGGTTATCCCGAGGGGACCCTGGAGTGATCGCAATACTGTAGTATATAAATGGATGAGAGTGCCACAGGTTCGTCTCAAGTCCAGTAAAAGTTTATTTATTTTTGACAAAAGGTCTACACACATAGCCAATGCGTTTTGGGGTCTTACACCTGGCTCCTTGCAATCTCTGTAGTCCTCATTTTATACCTTACACTATCCACGATACCTAAATAACTGTCAGCACACAAGCCCTGATGGAGGTGGAGTTGTGAGCCCTTGAAACACATTGGCTATATACTCAGATCTGTTGTCAAGATAAACTTTTTTTGGACTTAATACAAACCTGTGACACATCATTTTATATACTATTGTAAGCGCAGGTTGTCATGGACACACTCCCTGTAGGATGCTTCATCATGCTGGCCTGGGCTCACAGTACTGCAGCAACTATGCTAACATGTCATTTTATGAGCATGGTTCTGTGCTGCAGTGGGGGTTAGTGATGGGCTCGGGCGTGTTCGCAAGCGCCTCGTGCCGAGCCTGCCAGGAAGCCGTCAGCGCGCAGGGCCAATCACAGGCACTGAGACATGTTCACTGTCCGCAGCTGTAGGGATCGGGAAATGTCTCAGTGCCTGTGATTGGCCCTGTGCGCTGACGGCTTCCTGGCAGGCTCGGCACGAGGAGCTTGCGAACACGCCCGAGCCCATCACTAGTGGGGATCACCCACTAGAAGATGAAGAACCCATGACATCACCGCAATGGCCGGAAGACACCTGAAATGATGGTAGTTGGTCAGTTTTAAAAAATACATGTGGGGGAATCATTTTTCACATAGTCCTTCTTTTTTATGTCATGCATTTGCTGATCTCCGACAGCCATTATGCTATTATTTGGTAAATGAATTTGCTTTCTATAATCTAATCTTGTTTTTTTCTTACATGTAGAATATAAGAGCAAAGCTGAGAATTCAGACTCTGAGGATGAAGAATGGCCCTCCTTGGAAAAGGCCGCGTCTATGGATGCAGCAGCCTATAATGACCATGTTGAGGTGAACCCTGAAGATGAGAAAGCGATTGCAATGTTCATGAATAAAAATCCTCCAGTGAGGTGAGAACCCTTAAAAAAAATGTGGCAATTCATTCAGCGTTCTATAATGTTCAAGCAGAGGGAATCCTGAGGATGATTTATACTAGCCTGTGTGATCACATTTATGCCATAGTGGGGACATTTGTACAGCATCACATCTGTTTAGTATAACCCTTTGAGAAAACATCTCTCTGTATGCTAATGACACATAATCTGTGTTAAACTTTACTTGCTTAAAATAGTATTAAAGAGGATCCAGGATTTTTTTTTTAAACTTACCCTGAGTGAAGCTACCCTTTTACTGCAAGGGTTAAGTATTCATTTTTGTCTAGAGGGCTGCTAGACCAATCCCTACAGCCTCTTCTCCCCCAGGCTTCAGCGGTCTAAGGACTGCTGATGTCATCACGTCTAATGCTGGTCCATTGACTTGTGTTAGACGTGAGGACACCGAGGGACATACCGCAGCCAGAGCGGGGGAAGAGAGGTGAGCGCTGACTGCTGCAAAACCGAGGATCAGGTGAGTATATTGTCATTTATTCCGGCCCCTAGCCCCACTGCAAGGGTTAGTTTTATTTAAAGGCTAAATCGACTTTCCCAGACTAATTTGGCCGTATGGAATTACTCCAACCAATCTGCCCCCTGCCAAGCTTCAGTATCTTGATAGTCAGCCCCGCTGGCTGTCAAAATACCTGAACAATCTGATTGGATGCAGACATTGTTCAGGTGTTTTGAGAGCCAGCGGGGCCGACTAGCAAGATACTGAAGCTTGGCCCAGTGGGAGATGCCTCCATCCACACAGTTTAGCGTAGATAGAGGAATCTGTTACACTCTATCAGACAATCTATAGATGTATGGCCAGCTTTCTCCTCATCTTCCAGGTCAACAGCATGAGAGATGATTGACTCCCCCCTTCTACAGGAAACACAATAAACTCCGTCTTGAACCAACACTGCCCTAGGTGGGTCTGGGATTTGTTCCGTAGTATATATGGCCTGCAATAAAAAATCAATATCTTCCACGGGGAAAAAATGCTTTTAGGGTTGGGAATTCCCACCCTAACAGGAAGGGGAGGTTTCCCCTTCTTGTAAGAAACTATCTGAACTGGATCCTGAAGCTGATTCTTTCTTATCCAAATCCCTGCGTAACTGAGCAGATTTAGCCTGTAACCCTGAAGTGCCAGGCATATCTGCAATTAAAGAAGGAGCAGAGGAAGCGGGCAACAGGAGCAGAGGAAGCGGGCAGCAGGAAGTTCACCTTCCAGAAGACGTTCGACAGACGTTCAGCTGATGGATGTCTCCAGAGACGCTGATGGGAGGCAAACTATGGAGTCAGACGGATCCTATTCAAGTAGCTACGGACGTGAGTTCATGAGGCTTGAGAGCTCTTACGTTGGGGCTGCATGCTCAGGGACTCTGGCCTCAAGACCTAGCGAACGCCTCTTCAAATTTGAGGGAGCTATCCGCGCTGATAGGAGCGTTGATTGCCTTCCAGTCGAGCCTAGTGGGGAAGGATGTGCAGATTTTCTTTCAGACAATTCCACCTCAGCGGCCTACCTAAATCATCAAGGGGAACCAGGTTCACAACTGCTGAGGACAGTGGAGGATATTTTCCCCTGGGCAGAGTCTCAAATACTTTCCGTTTCGGCAGTCCGCATAAAGGGAGTGTCCAACGAGACTGTGGATTATGGATTGAGCCACAGACCCATTCACCAAAAAGAGTGGGAACTTCATCAGGAAGTTTTTGCACAGATAGTCGAATTATAGGGACAGCCGGAAGTGGACTTATTCGCAAAACAATTAAACTGAAAAGTACCAGCCTTTTTTTTTTTTTTTCCCCCCCTGTACAGGGAGGCGGGCTCCAGAGGGGTAGATGCACTGGCCCAGAGCTGGGATTTCAGTCTAGGTTATGCATTTCCTCCTCTAGTTCTACTTTCTCGTATTCTGCAGAAACTGAGCAGGTTAGTCTGTACCCTCGTTATGGTGGCCCAAGAGAACGTGGTTCTTGGAGCTTCAGGCTCGATCCATCCTTCCTCCTTGGTTTCTTCCTCTGCAGAGGGATCTTTTGTCTCAGGGGCCGATCTTGCATTCAAACCCGGATTTCTTTTAATTAACGGCCTGGCTCTTGAGAAGACACCCTCATAAGACATTACCAAGTTGAAGTGTTGTCGCAGAAAGACCTCGCTTTTGGTTGAAAGGTGC